CAAAATTTTTCCCTCTTTTGTCTTAAGCACTGCACTACACTCACACTGTCCCCGTTTTCAGTTCCTACAGCAGGAGTTTTTTCCTGCTTATTAAGACCAGTGGAAGAAATCACTAGTTTCCCCTCAATTCCATTCTTTTTCCATTGCAACGACATTTTTATTAGAAGGCCATCAACTGCGTTGCTCATGGCCCTTTCCCAGTTCCTATAATGATACTGGGCACATAGTAGGGGTTCAAGAAATATTTTTTGAATAAAGAAATGGTTAAATGACCGTGTTTTCAGTAGATGAACTACACAAGAAGGAGAGGCATATTTCGAAGCATCACTTAGACACTTCGAATAAGGTGAGAACCTCCAGATTTACAATGAAACTATACTTTGGAAGTGAAGAATGCTGATTAAGCATAAAGTTCTGTGTGGAGCTTGAGAGAATAATTGTGCTGCCTACAACTAGGAGTTTACTATCTTCAGGAGTTCTGGATCCAGCATCTTAGAGAGTAAATTAGAGCTCCCTGAATCCAGAATTTATTTCAAGTAAAAATTAATTATATTTTATCCCCTCAAATGTTGTGTTAGGTTTAATTTTTAAGGTCAACCTCTACAGGAAACTAAATAGTCTAATGTGGTTGCACTGAGTTTTAAGTTACAAATGTGGTTCTCAGTGTAAGAAGCTGTGAGGAACCACTGAATACTTGTGAAAGTTTCTATTCACAAAACACAAAAGAACCATGATAATATCTAGAAGATATGAATGAGTATAAGGTTTTTTAAAACAACAAAGAATAGATGTTTAAGTTAAAATTAAATTATTAAAATAATTTATAAATTAAAATATGTACTTACATAATTCTTAGATCTAAGGAAAAAGCAAAACAAAATTAAACTTAAAATATAACAATAGGATTTATGCAGTTTACATGTATGATATGGTTCAAATCCAAAAGATCATCTCAAATAGTTATCATGACTAAATAAGAGAAAATGTAAATTAATCAAACGTTTAACTACAAGTGCTAAAAAATAAATACAAAAACAGTAAGAAAATGAGATTCCTAAGTATAAAAGAAGAAATTAACAACAGAAAACAGTAGGGTTGCTTTAAAAAAACAAATATAAAGTTCTTGAGGATCTGGGGTTGGGCTGTTTACATATGGACAAATTACTAGCTAGTGTAAATAACAGAAAGAGAAAGTATGAAATCAAAAAAATATGAATTTTGATTTTCACACATAAAATTTATAAACAGGTGTTCCAGCTGATGGTAGGGCATTCTGTTTCATGCTGTCCTTGGTCATTCAGGGTCTCAAGCTGTTAGGTAGACTGCCCTCAACAGCATGCAGTTTACAAAGTCACCTGGAGCATCTATATCCAGCTGTCAGATGTTGAAGAAAGGATAAGGATGCCATGTATACTTTTCAAACACCTCAGTCTAGAAGTTTCACGTATAAATTATACTGGCATTCCAGTCGTCGTAACTATTCACAATGGAGTACCTAGACAGAATAGCAATAGGAATTTGTGTAGATTAATACTTCCAAACAACAACTCTACCTTAAGGATTCTGAGATCTATATTGAAATTATTTCCAGAATCAGAGGACCTCTCACCACCTTTGCTGCTATACACAGGCTGTAGCAATCATTTCTGTTGCATGAATTATCTACCTTTACCACCCTAGTGCATCTACGCTCCATCCTAAACTGAAAAACTGAAGTGGTCCTTTGAAAACATAAGTTCCTTCACATTGCTGCTCAGCTTAAAACCTTCCTACAGCTTCCAGTTTTTCTCAGAGTGAAAGCCTTCCAATGGCTCACTTGATCTTAAAGAATTGGCTACTCATCCCCTATTATGCCTCTGATCTCATACTCTATTAATTTTCTCATTGACCCGAGTTCCAGTCAGAATGATTTCTAAACTGTCCTTGAAATGCTCCTTGAATGCTTGCATCCCATCTGCTTAAAATACCGCCCCTCAAACACCTGCGCAGATAATCTATAAAGCACTTCATGAGGTTTTTGCACAATATCACCTTCTCAATAAAATCCACTTTATTCTCATGCCTTAGCCAGAGACACTCCTTTGCTCTATCCTACAATAGTTTTTCTTTCCACATTTTCATAGGATTGCTAACATACCATATGATTTACCTATGTATTATGATCATTGTTTATGAATGCCTCAGACTACTGGAATATAAGCATTGTGAAATCAAGGATTTTTTTTCCATTGAGTGTAACAAATAAGTAAAACTGTGTCTGGTACATAAAAGGCACTCAGCTAATACTTGTCAGATGAATGAGTGAATTAATTAAACAATAAGTTAGAATACTGAGAAATAGACCAAAAGAAATATAAACAAGTTTGCATAATATTATTGGCCTTTTAAAATTAGTGGGAACACGCAGATTACTAAGTAAATAATGGTGGTTAATGTTTTATGAAAATTAATGTTAGATTCTTGCTTTAGACCACTTTGAAAAATAAATTCTAAATGATTTAAATGAAATGTAAATATTTTAAATGTGTATGCCTTACATGAACTTTTATGTGAATGGTTATGCTGTCTGTTCATATTAGTTAAAAGAACACTAGTGGCCATAACAATCTCTGAAATCTTGTCGGTTTAGCATAGTAGAAGTTTTTTTCTCACTCCTATAACAGGCAAATGGAGATCTTGGACTGAGACTTTTGTTACAGTGATTCAATAAGCCAAACTTTTTCCTGTGACTCCACACCATCCCCTGGGGCCTCACAGACTTTTGTTTGCAACTGTTGAACAAAGAAAATAAAAAATAAAATAGACATGGTATACAACACTGCCAGTCTTACGCCCCTATATAGACCTCAGCCAGCTGGTCACAGAAACTGTAAGGGCAGCTGAGAAACATAGTTAGTTTTTTGTTTTGTTTTCTTTAATAAAAAAGAAGAGGATATTGGATTTGAGGACCACATAGCATACTCTACCACCCTACATATGGAAAAGGATCTTGTTATCATAACACTAATGAAGAAACTCAGTCAGAATTTAGTTGATTGGAGTACATGAGGATTTAATATATAAATATGTTGTAAAACACCGTAAACTACATTAAAAGACAAACAACGAGCTTTAAACAAAAGATGTGGCATATATAATATATACTCAGCCCATTTTTGTAATTAACAAATGTTTATTAAGCTCCTACTATGTGCAGAGTTTAGAACACTGGTATTACAGTGATAATCAAGACAGAAATGGTTTTATCTCTCATAGAACTTAATGTGCAGTGAGAAAACATTAAAATAAACTATTGTTAGAAAAATAATTACTTCATTGCAAAAATTATAAATTTTCCAAAAGAAAAATAAACAAAACAGAAACCAAACAAAAATGAATTAAAATAATTCAAATGCCCAAAATACATATTGTAATTTTTGACTTCACTAATTACTACAGTGTATTTAAATTATAATAATGAAGAAACTTTCTGGCTTTCAAGTGGACTAAGTTTTACAATCTATGGTCAGGATATAGATAGAGAAAGGAATTCTGTGATCAGTGAAGAAGGCAGTTTGGAGTTATAAGCTTAAATGTAGTGGAAGGAGAAATAATATAGTTCAAAATGATAGCATATAATGTTATAGTAAAAAGTATTGCAAATTATATAATTATGTTGATCATTTTACATTTACAACTAGTTTGGTCCTGAGGGAAATTCCTACATAGGAACTCCTGGAAAGTACTGATCAAGCTGACTGTGCTGAAACACACACAAAGAAACACACACACCTACACAAAGACACATACATATGCATAGATGTACATACACATACACATGTATAATAACATCTATACATGCATATATGCATATATAATGTTTGCATAATTTTGCTTTCTTTGTGAAAAATCCAGGCTCATTTCTAAAATGTCCTTTATAATATTGTTAAATTAAGAAAAATGAAGAAAACTTGAATCCTGACAGAAAGGGTTATAAATTTTGTATATTCACAATCAAACTTAGCTCTTTGTGCCTTGAAAATTTTCTTGTCTTTTAAATAAATGTATTTTGACACTGAGTAAGTAATATTGTAACAAAAACCAAAGGATAGGGCATCTCTTATACATCAGTGATGATATGTTAAATTTTAAAGTCAAATGCAACATGTATAAGTTACAAATGCATGTGCTAGAGCTATTAAGAACTCAGATAGATTCTACTACAATCAAACCTTAAAAATACTTTTAAAAAGCATAAAGAAAAAAAAAGAGTAAATGTAACTCCACATGTCCATCTAATCATCTAGAGATAACTTGTTGAAATACATTTATGTAAACACATTCTAAATTCTAAAGCACCAGTTAGATTGTGTTAGATTGTAGTCATTATAAGGTAAGACATAAATAGAATATCCGATGGATACAACGAGATATTAAATCTGTTGATATATAAATGAGGTTTATTTAATTAATTAGTGTACATTTGAAAATGTAAGCTCTTCTAGTATACGAATTAACATTGCTTAAGTAGAGTTTATAACTTATTCTACATAAAATATTCTATTTTCAGGGATGTTGTCTCCAATTATAACAATGACTTATGGTGAAATCATATTCAATTTAAGCATTTTAAAATAGTAACATATAATCTCAAACCAACATTAATTCCAGATACAACAAAAGAGTATTGCAGTTCTGTTAAAATCAGAATTGAAAGAATAGACTTGTGAAACATTGAGTAGCCGAGAAAAGACTTTCCCAGTTGCAACTGCATCTGACATTGTATGGAAGGGAAGAAAGGTAGTTGATATTGTCAACATGTTTTCATCGTGTCAGATTTCACAGACCTAGAGCGTTTCATTTACAATATGATTTTCCTATCTGTATACCATTATTTACTTTTCAATTATGTGTTATCTTTGTCCGTTCATTGAAAACATAAATAACAAATTTCCTCGAAGTTATACAAAAGAAATGGTTAATTCCTACCCCTTCTATTAAACTATGAGTTTCATCATACATTATAAGTTTCTATTGTATATAGTCAAAAATGTTCTACTGGTTGCTATGCTTGCAGCCTCCTTTACATCTTTGTTCCTGAGACTGTAGATCATGGGATTCAACATAGGAATTACTGTGGCGTAAAACACAGCCACCATTTTTCCCTGTTCCACAGACTCTTCAGTTGGACTTCTAAGATACATGAAGAAGAGAGTTCCATAAAATATAGTGACAGCTGTCAAATGGGATCCACATGTGGAGAAGGCTTTTTTTCTTCCTTTTGCTGAGCGCATTCTTAGGATAGCAATAAGGATAAATATGTAGGAGATGACAATGACTAATAAAGAATAAGAGAAGTTGATACCTGCCAATGTGCGCATGGTGTATTATTTAATGAAGGTTCCTGCACAGGCAATTTTGATGAGAGCTGGGTCTGCACAGTAGAAATGGTTGATCTCAATATTCCCACAGAAGTACAAACCATGAGTCCATAAGGTGGAGATCAAACTGATAAAGAAGCCATATATGTAAGGGAAAGAGATCAATCGAATACAGACAGTCCTTGAAATTCTGCTGCCGTAGAGCAGAGGGTTGCCAATTGCCATGTATCTATCAAAGGCCATCACAGCAAGGATAAAGACTTCTACGTGGACAAAAGCAGTGAATAAAAAACACTGCACTATACAACCAGGGTAGGAAATGGTTTTGGTTTCAGACAGCAAATTTTCTAACATTTTAGGAGTGACATTAGAGGAGAACCACACATCTGCAAAAGACAAGTGACTGAGGAAAAAATACATGGGGCTGTTGAGCTTGGGACTGATCCTGATTAATATGATCATACCAATATTCCCAATCAGGGTGATAATGTAGACCAGTAAAAAAACCACAAAGAAAAGGACTTGCAATCCAGGCTGATTAGTTAATCCCAAAAGAACAAATTCAGTCACATCAGTAAAATTGGGCATTTTCTTAAATCTGATCCAGGTAGAGATGCATTTTATCTAATAAAATAAACAGAAGTCAGAAAACACACATACCAAATATAGCCATTCATTGTTTATATTATCTGTTGCTAATCCATTCAATTTCAATTCTTCTGCTTTTTTTCTTTTTATCTCCACACTCTTTTTGCTCACGTACCTTTTCTATCAGTATTTCTTTCTTATATGCAGGTATATATACAAGAGACATTTTCTACAGAGGAAGTGGTAAAATAACATAAAATTATAGGAAGTATAGTAACAGAACTTGTTGTGTCTGGATTTACTCCTCTACAAACAAAACTTTCAGAGGCAGAATTTTTCTTTTTGTTATCTCCTGAAAAGGAAAAACCTTTTACCACTGGCCCCAACTATTATAATGTGCATATGTCTTATATATTCACTAAATTTGTAGATTTTAGAAAGTCTATACAAGTTATAAGTTTAATCAAAGCCACAAAGAAATGTTATTCCATAATCTGAAAGTTAAACGCTATCTCCATTTACTAATCTTGCAAATTTCAGATGTTTATTATAAAAATGACTTAATAAAACTATATAAAATCCTTTTACATAAACCAATATTCCTTATCAGAAAAAAGAAAGGAAAAATTTCTTAAAGTATCATCTTGATTTAGCAATTTTTAAACTTTTGAAAATCAAGCCAAAAAAGAAACAAATTCTTGCCAGTCATTTTCCAGTTGAAAACAAGCCTACTAAGATAAATTGAAACATCATCTCCTCATTTTAGCATCTTCCCCTCCCTTGGGTCTTGAAGCACTAACAAATTCTGTGGCAGTCTCTTTTATTCTTTCTTCCTTTCTGCCTTAGAACTCTAAACAAAATAAGAGCAATAAAACACTGAGTGAAGGCCATTAGTATTCCTCTATCAATATTTAAGATTAAATTAATGAAATTTCTAAAATGTACTAGAAGCTAAGGAAACTTTTTGAAGGGTTGAGGGCAAAGTTACTTTTTAGGTTTTTTTTTTTTTAAGATTGGCACCTGAGTTAACAACTGTGGCCAATCTTCTTTTTCTTTCTGCTTTTTTCCCCAAGTCCCCCCAGTACATAGTTGTATATTTTAGTTGTGGGTCCTTCTAGTTGTAGCATGTGGGACGCCACCTCAGCACGGCTTCATGAGTGGTGCCATGTCTAAGCCCAGGATCCAAACCAGCAAAACCCTGGGCCACTGAAGCAGAGCACCAGAACTTAATCACTTGAACACTTGGCCATGAGGCTGGCCCCTACTCTTAGTTTTTCACTGTATCATAATAAGATGACTGGCAATGTGGATTCTGCATACTATCTAACATGTTCTAATACTCTAAATATTTTGAGCTAATTTGCCAGCAGTAATGTTCTATTAATGTTCAATTTATTTGTGAGCCAAGGGATTGCACAACTGATGGTTCTTCATAAAACTATCCTGTACATGCCACCAAAATACAAGTTAGAAGAACATCATGATAATGACTTTTATATTCATTCATTCATTCGTTTATGTAGTTAATCTTTTCTAGAAAAATCACTGGTTCGCCTCTTATCCATAATAAGATGTCACAGCTAACTCATTTCTTATCTATAAAGACACATAGCTTTTTCTACCTATCATCATCTGAGATCTGTCCTTCCCTCCTCATTCTCTACGGTTAGCCTCTATCTTAATTTTCTTGTTGTATCTGAGCCTCCCACTACTCATCTCCTGGTTGAAATTTTTGTGATAGAAATCAAATGGACATTGGACAAAATAATAGATGATTTTTAACCTTCCCTATGTTCTAGGTTGCCTCTGCCAAATGCCAGCCACAAAGAGGTGTCTCCTCATCTAACTATGGATTTGTAAAACAGAGAAATAGAGAGTATTGTCAACTCTATTTACATATCCTCTTTGATTTGGAGGATCTGCATGATTCTTGTGCCTTCTTCCAAGTAAGAAGCCATTTTCCAAACATTTAGGCAAGAAACCTGATTAGGCTCTCTGATTATTCTATTTAACCACTCTTAAGTATAATTTTTACACTATGTTGATTTATTTGATAATTAATAAATCCTATATATGTAATAGGAACATTTTAACTGTTTTTTCCCCACTTATGGCATAAGTAGTCCATAAAGTTTAATTCAATGACTCTGTACACGTGTATGTGAGAGAGACAGGCAGAGAGATAGAGCGAGAGAATTGAGAATGACACTTATGCTAAGGAGAAAATTGCTTTAGTAAAGAAAACAGAAATATTTGATTACCGCTTAGTGACACTTTATGGGGAGGATTCCTACTGTTTGTTAGGTAATATGGTGTATATTTCTCCCACTGAATGATTGTAGTTCTTGTACTAGAGATTCATGCCAAAGGCCCCATCTATAACTGGCATACATTACCAAAGTAAAGCCTCTCTAATCTCACTTCTAATAAACCTTTCCATTCTCCCCCTACTCAGAATTACAAGACAACATACAGGGCTAACAATTCAGACTAATTTTATAAAAACACATAGACTCTCCCTGTGCATGAACCCACCTGTGCATGAAGAAAAAATGTTCTTGTAAACATCTCATCTGTTATCATCAGTGGATAATTCAGAAGGATTTATAAGGATTGCATTTCCCAGCAGGGGCTATCTCATTGGAGAATATAGACAGAAACCTGAATAGGTCATTAGAAGGCTACATATTGCATCATCTATAATGATCATGAATCTCAAGAGCAAAACAACTCTCAGCAGAATTAGAATATTTAAAATAAACAAAATAAAAGGGCTAGAAGAACTTGAGATTTTGCTTTCTTACTATTTTAAAACATTTTCTCTGTATCCAGGTGATGGTGCTGTGTTTATTTGAGGAGAGAGAGGGAGATCTCAGTTTCCTCTGTAATAACTATCATGTCAGTATTGCATCAGTCACAACATATGTTTTAAATAATCTGTGCTTCATGAGCACGATACTCTGTATTAGTGAAGAAAGTTCCCTCCACTTTTCAGTGAAAAAGAGTTGTAAAACATGAGAGAATAAAGGAGGTTACATGTCCTCCTTTATGTAATACACATGTTATTGATAATGCCCAAACTGGCTTCTCCTTGCCTCAAAGAATTAATATACGTCTCTAAAACCCAACATAACGCCCAGATTAGGAGTGATAGTTTTTTATCGTTGTTGTTTATGTTGCTTTGTTGTATTATTTTAACACTATAAAAAAAGAAATTCCTTAACTAATGATTTTTATCAACAGAATATGATTTCTAATAGCTATCCTCTTCATATTTATGGTTTCTACCCATTTAGGAGTGAAAATAAATTAGTATGCTTAAGAAACATGATAGTAATTTGTATTGACATAGATAACTGTTTGCAAATGTGATGCATGTAATTTTCATTTCACAATCGCTGTATTGTAAGGCATGCAACTTTATTCCTCTAACTGAGCCTAAGTAATATTTTGATTCTCTGTTTTTCAAAGTGGAAGAAATTAAACTTAATTAATTCCTTTCGCCCCTTTCTTCTCAGGCTGTACCTGAGTTCTAGTGGATGAATATACTAAAACATTGGAAAACAGGACAATCCTCGATCTTGGTGTCATCATCTACACCCATCGACATACAGTTATTTATTTTTTAACTCACTTACTATTTGCCTGGAATATAGTAAAACAAAAAACAAACAAAAACAGTACCTGTTCTCATGGAGCTCATGTTCTAGTCATATTCTCATTCTTGTCTGATGAGTCTTCCATATTAGGAATTCTATGACCTCTTAATTTTTGCCAATTTCATATACTTTTTTGTTCCTTCAATTAACAGGGAACATTCTGGAGCTACCACAGTAACTTGGACCGAAGAATGCCTTAGGACATTGGCTATACCTTTCTGGAAACATGCTGCAATCATTGTTTTTTGGGGAACATGTTGCTTCCCATGGTATAACTAGAAAAAAGACCACAAGTCATCCTAGAATTGGCTTCTACAAATATAATGAAATAAGTGTTATGTATCTTCTCAATTCCCAAATCTAATGAAGAGAAACTGGATAAAAGACATAGATAGCTCTGCTACTCCAGGAAACACAGCCTGAAATCTTGTATCTTACCCTTTGTCTCTCCTCTTCCTACAAATTTGATATTTTTCTATGTGCTTTAATAGACTCAACTTTCACATTTATGATTTATTTTAGAGTCCCTTTTCCTTGCCTAATATGTATATAAAATATAAGTATTTAATATTAACTAACATAACCTAAATATAATTATTAACAGTGATAAACTAGACAGTGAGACTATTTGGACCATCTGTCAGTTAAAAATTTTTTAACAAAGGCTGACAAACCTTGAAGACTGTATTCTATTTTCTCATAAGCATAGCAATCATCATATTGATAAATTATACCTCTACTCTCAAAATTCTATTCAAACCAAAGATCTGTTGAATTAATGCCTAGATTTAATTGACTAACATTATTTTAAGAAAATGATGATTATCTTTATATATGAACTCTGATATGTCCATTTCGTTATCCTTTATAAAACAGGGCTAGATGTGAGAGGAAACACCATCAGGTTTGATCAGTACTTAGAATATCAAGCATATCCCTCTTCCAAGTGTTGCTTTTCTCATCCCATAGTAATTGATCCTGTGACGACAAAGAGTGATATTTCTGTATCAAATAATTAGAGATTTGGATAATGTCCTTCTCAGACCAGCCAAGTAACCTTATTCTAACTCATTTTTGATTCTTGGGTTTGAACTTATTGATACCAGCTTGTTTCACACTCATGAAAAATCCTGCCGTATCAATGGTACATGAAAACCACAGGTCGTCTTCTCTGACACAGATTATACTTGTGTATTTGCATTTGTTCCTAAGACATTTCAAGGGATGATGTCAGCCAGTAGAGAAACTAATAAGAAAATTACAGTGCACCCTTGTTATTCATTCATTTAATATTTGCAATTTTGACCATTCTCTAACAATCTCAAAGGATTAAGTAATATT